AGAGAGAGAGAGAGAGAGAGAGAGAGAGAGAGAGAGAGAGAGAGAGATCTCCAGGGAAATCAGTATATATATTCCCAAAGTAGTACTCTAAAATTATAACACTACGATGCATTTCTCTTATATCTCACAATTTTTCATATTTAAATAAAAAGATGCTGGTTATTAAAACAATATGTTAGAAATTATTAGACATTGCTGAAAGAAAGAAAAAATATTCCAAAACAGGGGAATTAAATAAGAACCCAGTTCTCTTCTCTCCAGAGACAGAATATTTCCTTGGGTTTCAACAGAGTATGCAAGCAAATTAACCATTTTATTGCTATAAACAGGTAAATAGTTGCTTTCAAATAGGAAAGAGGACACATTATTTCTTGAGAACCCTAGACAACGAAACAAATAAACTGTAGTGCAGCAAAGTCTGCAAAAGGTAAATGCCACTCTTTCAAAATTATATCCACCCTAAAAGATGATGCCTTTCCAAGGCATGAAATATGCAATATTTGGTTCTATATTCTCTTTATTTGCATTATTTCTTCTCCCCACGACTCAGAAGCCGCTTAAAATACAACTTTTTAAAGATCTCCTACTCGCTTATCCACCCCTCAACCTCTGCATCAGGTTAAGGAAGATAGAGACAAACTTTTATTTATCATCTTTTGTTTCGGAAGGGAGGAGTGTGAAGTAGCCTTGGACCGCCACCTTAATTGAACGCTTGGTGTGGTTTGATCCTCCCAAAAGTCGATGCCCTTCTTTAAAACCGGCCATATTTTGCTATTTAATCGGCAAGGTGAAAGACGACCCCTTCCTCCCAACCCTCTTACTTCGCTGCCCTTCTTCACAATTTCATTTATATGATTTCCCCCCCCCCCCCGCCCCTTTCTTGCACGCGCAGGCGAAAAAAAGTGAAAGCAAAAAGTTAAGTCTTTAAGGTTTTGCCTTTGACTGTGTAAGACATTTTCTTTTAAAAAGAAAAAGAAAACAAAACATAACAGCATTTCTCCCCCAGTGTATGCCAGGCGTAAACCCTTGGTCTCTCCAAAGGAACTTTCCACCGCGCCAGGGCGCACCCCGACACAGGCGCTCCTCCTAGCAAACACTTCCACACCGGGGCAAACTTAAAGTCTTTGCCACGCGGGCGCAAATCTCTCAAGGTCCCGCGTGGGCCAGCGATGGCTTCGTGGCTTTCGGCCTGCCATTCTCGCGACCTTGTTGCCTCCACTCACTCGGGAAGGCGACCCCTCCTCCCCTCCCAGGAGAGCTCCACTCACCAGGAGGCTGAGGAGGAGCTGGAAGAAAGCGGCTCCAAGCGGGCCCTCTCCGTGCCTTGTTCTTGCCGGCGGGATCATGTCCGGAGGCTTGGCGGTTTGGCGGGAATTGCGGCCACTGGGCTGCGCGCCGAACTCCTGACGACTCTGACCAGGTGAGTCTGAGGTTCCTCCGCCCGGCTCCCCGGCTGCAGCTCTAAGGGCGGCCCTAATGAAGAGCAGGAGGAGGAGGAGACGACGACGACTTTGTTTTCTCTGCCTTTCTTGGTTCGCTTAGGCTCCAGCTGGCGGCTCCTCCCGTCCGCAGTAGGATTTCGCTCCTAGCCAGGGTGGGGCCAACGGAGGGAGGAAGGTTAGTACTAGCAACGGCACCTTTGAGATAGGCTAATTAGTTTCCCTCGTTCTTTCTTTCTATTTGACTAGGGAATGGAGCCCCAACCCCGCCCGGTTTTGGGAAGGTAGGAAAAAAGCTGGGACGTGCCCTGTCCGGCTGTTTCGTCCCTGACTGCATGCGCACAGGAATGTGTGAGATCGGGGTAGGCGAACCAGAAAGGCGGCGACTCCTTCAACTTCGTCACCTCTTAGTAATTGCCTTTGCCTTCGGGTGGCCTTACTCTCTTTAGACAAGTCTGCTTGCAGCGTTATAGCTTCGAAACGAGGCCCTCGAAAGGACTCCGCTCCCTGAAAAGGAATTGCAAGCACTGAATATATTTGTTCCTAAATCCCAGTTGGCTGAGGGCGCTGTTAACCTCCTTCCGCTTTTTCAAGTAGCAAGTTCGATGATTTTAATTTCTCTTTGCCTCTGTCGTCCGGCAACTCAAGGATTGTCTCACCAATGGTCGTTATTTCTTTTTTTCTGTGCAACCACGAGTCAAATATACGCTGTTCTTTCAGAACCTGTTGATCACTAGAATTTGGAATTTTACAGAAGAAACCATCTCTGCCCGGAACAAGGTCTTCTTCAAAACAAATCCATTTAAGGTACACAATGGGGTCAGTGTGTTGACTAACACAATGGTGCCTGAGAAACTATTAAAAACATTTTAGCATTTGAAATTGTGGCAGAATAACCACTGACCTATTTGAAATTCAAAGTTAAACATACATATTGTCAGCCCTTCAAATTACTTCAGACAGGAAACCAAAAACATGAGCACTTACACCACCTTTACTCTAAGGTTATAGCAATAGAATCTTTAAGTCTGAAGCACCCCCTTTGTTTACTTTCCAGAAAACTAGGCAGGGTCCCCTCAGACACACTTTCTTCCTGCCCATTCTTCCTTTGGACCCAAGATTTCTCTTATCAAATTATTGTTTAGGCTGCTGTTCAAATATCCTCATTTCCCAAGATTATTTTTGCAGTTCATTACAATATAGAAGTGTTTTGTGAGCTACATATTGTGAGTTTACTACATATTGTGAGTTTACTTTTCAAAAGTATTAGTGTCTGAATGAATCACAACCTTATCACACCCCAAAGATTAATTACTGTGAAGACTCCTTCAGTCCCATTTTCTAATCAACTTTAAATGATACCAACATGTAACCAACATTAAATGCAATTAAATAAATATTAAATAAATGGAACTCCAACATCATTACTGGATTTGTATTTCCATGAATGTATGTTGATACCCTGTTTCTCCAACAATATGGCCTCCCCCAATAGGAAGTCCCAGCATGTTTTATAGGCATGAAATGAAATTAAGCCCCTCCCCCCAAATTAAGGCCTATATTAAAACATGCGAATGGGGGGGAATGGTGGGGGGGGGGCTTGCCGTTAGGAAGTACTTTTGTTGCACGCCCGGATATGGTGCTGCCTGCGTTGACCCTGATATGAAGTGCCCCACCAATGCCGAGGTCAACATCCAAGCCATCGCTGCCCGCCCGCCTGAAGATGCAAGGGGGGGAATTAAGTCACCCCCGAAAAGACAGCCTAGCCATTTTTTCGGGGCTCAAAAAAAAATAAGACCCGGCCTTATTATATGAGAAACACGGTATTAATTGCAAAATAGTTTCACTAGCATATTTTTCAGATAACAATAGCAATATATACCACTTCATCATATTTTACAGCCGCCTCTAAGCAATTTACAGTCAGCATATCATCTGGCTCCTCATTTTACCCATGTCAGATAAATATAATTGGTAATACTCCAATTCTATCTCTACATTCTATTAGTGTAGAAGTATATTTTGAAGTAATAGAGAAAAGATTTAACATGTCCATTTTTGAGAGCATTGAACAACATGATACATTGTTCTAATTTTAAACATTTTGTAACAAATAGAAAAAAATGGACAAACCTAATAATCAAGGTGCAGATCTAGTAGATTTGTACTAAACCATTGCTCTAAAAGACCTATACAAGTTAAATATTTTATTGGAAACTATTTTATACTTTTGAACGATAAGCCATAAGGTATATACTTCTTTTGTTGATATTGGTCCAGAACTGTATTTTAGAAGTGGCTCATACTATAGTTAGAATATATAGTTAGAATTCAGGGTGGAGAGACTTGTCCGAACCTTCGCCATGTTGATTATGGGACTTAAGAAGGTACACATTTGCTGTTAATGCTCTCAAACATATACAGTAGAATACCGCAAAAAAAAAAAACCACCTTCTGCTATTCATATAAAAAGCAATAATGGAAAAGTATAGGTGAAGGGTATGAACTCAATGTTGGAAAGGCTTTCCTTAGCCCAGTCATCCTTATAAAAAGAATTTAATTGAAGGGCTGAGAAAGGTATTTTAATTGCCATGCATTCCACCTCATTTTCACTCTACCTCTCATATAGACAAATACATATAGACTGTATTTGGTAAACTGTCTTAATAGCTGATTTGACTTTATGAATTAACCATTTTATAATAAAGTAAATCAATAGTGAACTATTCCTTTATATTCCCCAAATCCCTCCCAAAATCCAACATTTACTGTTGACGTCAATTTTGTTTACAAAATACCTTTCCCTTTCCAAAAACTTTTTTCAACATATTGTTTGAAATTTAGTTAATATGTTTCCTGCAATAAGAGATATCATTGCTACAAAAATTGTCATATTTTGTCCTATATGAAGTTACAAGCACCTTAAAATTATTTTTAAAGGCATGTAAATTAAAAAGTTTGGTACTTCCATAACATTTGATATATTAATCTCTTGTATAGCATGCTTGCAAATCTCATCCCACTCTGCTGAAAAAAAAATAGATAAACCTGTTCTAGTTTTATTTATAATCAGGTTATGTCAAAATTAAATATTTTAAAAATCTTGTACCACAGTCAGATATTCAGTTGGACTGGATCGTCTCATTCTATTGCTTTGAATCAAGGACCAAAATCATAGCAAGTATTCTCTGCATATTATTTAATTAGTGCTTTATTTTATAATTATATTTCTACTAATAAATAGTAATCTATTTCAGTAAATAAAATGTGATAACTAACAAAGTATGTATTCGGGCTATTCTTGAAAATGACTTTATTGATGAAATAGAAATAAGTCTATTTTATTCTGATTCAGAGTAATCCAAATACATAGCATAAGAGGTGTAGTGGCACAGTGGTTAGAATGCAGTACTGCAGACTACTGCTGCTGACTGCCAGCACTTTTTCACCAGCTCAAGGTTGACTCAGCCTTCCATCCTTCTGAGGTCAGTAAAATGAGGACCCAGGTTGTGGGGGGCAATATGTTCTGTAAACTGCTTAGAGAGAGCTCTAAAGCATTGTGAAGCAGTATATAGATCTAAGTGTTACTACTATCGCTATATAAACATAAGGCATTGGACTCAGTATACCTTCTTACCTGTCATGGCTTTTTAGCCCACTATTTCCGTTTCGTTTTCTGCATCCATGTATTCATACTTTATTGTATTTATGCATGTTTATATGTGAACTGAAAGTAGATATCTGAAATCTACAAGTAATCTTCATTTTTCTTCCTTCATGCTATGCTTACATGAAGCTGTGTGTTAAATAAAATGCTTAATTTATCTAGCAATAAATATATTCAATATCAATATTTAGCTTAATGATCACTACAGTTAAGTTCAAACATACTAAGGACAGATAGTATAATCAGTATACTTCAGCATAATCATCAGCTTCATTGAATGGATAAAAATTATATGTAGGAGTTTGGAAGAAAGTGATAATATAGTATAAAATATGTGGTCTACCACTAGACTGACAGGTTCTAAAACAGTAGAGATATAGTAGCACTTGTGTTTATATAAGTATTATAAGTGTGAATTTTGTGCATGCTGATTTCTGCCATTATTCCTGAAAGGAGCTTACAACTTTTTAACCTTTTAAAGAGTCAACTTTAATGAGCACAAATTGAAAAATATATAATTTTGTATATAATTAAGTCTAATATGTCATTGAAGTAACCATCAGCTTATCAGTGTTGATATATTAATACATCTAATAATAGTTTGGCAGCCTTTGATCATTTTCATTTCATTGCAGGAAAATCTATAAAAACTGGATGGAAATGCATATATTCATGCAAACATTTTATGAAAAGCAAAACATCCCCCAAAAATCTTATGGAGAGACAGCAGGTTAAGCAATATATTAACTAAATTTGAATGTCTATAGAATTTATTAAATGGGCCAAGTACAAAAATTTATAGGATTTATTAAATGCCTCAAATATGAGATCAAGTGGCCTTGAATCTAAATTGGAGATTATTATTTTTTTCATCTTCTTCAACATAAAGATACTGGACAAAAATGCTCAGTTTCTCCTTTGACTAATTGTACTTTTATAGCCAGTATTTGCTATCAGACAAAATAATAAAGCAAATGGCTTGTCTCACAATTAATTAAAATATAAGTTAATATACAGGTATTCCTCAACATGACCACAGTTGGAACCATCTTAAGATGAGGACCCACATAACCAGTCCTGATTTTGTGACATTTTTTGTGGCAGTCATTAAGTGAATCACTACAGTTGTTAAGCAAATCAACAACTTCTGAATTGGCATTTTTTTTGCTGAAAGTTAACCAAAAATGCCAGGAAAAATAATGCAAATCGCACTATCCCTGCTGACCATGGGATTTTCATAAAAGCAAGCCAGGCCCATTGTAATTTCAAATGGTTGTTAAACAACTGGTCATAAATCAAGGACTTCCTGTATGTTGATAACATTGCATTGCTTAATTTCTGAATATCAAACTTCAGATCTGGCCTTGATGTATTTCAGATAGATGAGATGCTGAATTTTATGACAACTGGATTAGGTCAAAATTTATGCCAATAGCCAAAGATTTGTTTTTCAATATAATAAAAAATATACATTTTCTATATGTATTGAATATATTATTCTTATAGCATAGTGATATTTCTCAAAGCACATTAAATATGAGTACAATC